TGGTATTGCATTTTCCTAAAGGTGAAAGGGGCGGCGCTTCCAAAGTGTGAGGCCAGTTTCTCTCAATAAAAAGCCAGTAGCTGAAATGTTGAGGAGCACTGCACTTCACAAGACGAGGGCTTCACAGGAGGGGGGACAGTACGAGGGGGCTTCACAAGACGAGAGGACTTCCTTCAAGACCAGGACATACTGTACAAAGGATTTAGCAGAGACTGCAAAGAGAAGCCATTTGTAGGCCAAGAAGTCCTGCTCATCATGTAATTTGTGGAGCCTGCAGCCTGAGCTAAGTACATTTTCAGTGTTTCCCCTCCTAGAAAGCATTACATGTACTAGAAGAAAGTGTAGTGAATGTTTGTAGCAGCCAGTCTTGTTTATGTATTTGTTTTTTCCTGTAACTAAGTTTGTACACGCAGCATTTTCGCCAAGTAAAGTACTTTTAAATGCTACTGGGTCAGTTTCCTTGAAGTTTACTGCAAGAACAGACAACAAATATAAATTAAAGTTTTGCCAAGCTTTACAGCTGGGCTCGTCCTTGGGATAAGCTTGACGTCTGGGATTTGTAGTGCAGAGCATTACAATTAAATGTAGGTACTGTCCCTTTAAGATGTTAACTGACAAATTTAACTGACAAATTTCGGCGGGAAAAGGACAGGTTTCGGCGGGAAAATTCGGGCTCGTGTCTCTTCTAGAAGTTTCTGGACCATTAGCCCAGGAGCCTATATAAAGGTCGGCATGAGGGAGAGCGGTCACTCGGCTGGACTCTTTCACAGCGTGCTCGTGCCCACCCGCACTTAAGCTATATTTTTTGCGTGCTCCTTCATGTGGTCTGTCACTCTTTAAAAGAGGGGACTTATGTTGGATGGTTATTTATAATATTGCTCGAGTCGTAGTGGCTGGGCAATTTGTATGGTTGTTTTTAAGTGCAAGTTACAGTTATCAGTTTGAGTTTAATAAAGTTGAAATTATTTTAATATGGTAACCAATAAAGGGGCCGTGGCCAGTTTAACCCACAATGGGTGTTATAGGTATTATTATATTTATGTTGTATAATATAAGTATGTTTATTGAAAGGGTGCCGCCTACATTACCATGGGATCTGGGTCTCTGGAGATTTCTAATAGTCTTGGGCGGGATGAAATCTCCAGTCCTGGGGCCAGGTGCAGCCAATTGCCAGGCCAGACTGTCCAGGTGGCTGATAACAGCCCTATAAAGAGAGTGGTGCAGGAGTACATGCAGAGCGTGGGAGACTGCGTGTATGTGACGCACGAGACACTGAGCTGGAGTCTGGCTGGGGAGGCCGAGAGGGCCTGTGGCACACGCAGTGTGTGGGCGAGGCCAGGAGGGTCTATAGCACACGAGGTGTGTTTGGAAAGGTCGGGAGGACCATCATCACACAGGGAGGTATGAAGCTGCTGGGTGTCTGTCCATGAGCAGGTTGAGGCTCTAAACCTGAGGTGGGACATGATACCGGTGCTGAGCCAAATCTTGGATGTTGCTGGAAGATGCACCCTGTTTATGTTTGTTTGCTGAAAATAAGCAATTTAAGTTGTACTGTTTGGAAGAGAATAAAGTGGTCATGTTGCAAAACAGCCTGGCTAAGAATCCTTAAATACCCTGGGCCTGTTCACACGACGTCCGTTTTGTGTGCTGACCGACTCCGTACGCTGCTGCACTCAAAATGCATCCCAATGTATCCCTATGTGTTTTATGGGCTCCAGTTCTCACGTGCGCAGTCCGTTCAGCTTACGACAGAAAAAATACTGCATGTCACATTTTGTCAGGTCCGGAAACGGTCCGGATATGCAAACGCGCACGAAACGCAACGAAAACGGAACGGAAACGCAACGCAATGCAGTTAAGGGGGGGAAAAAAAAGAAAAAATTGTATTCTTGCTCCACTTATTATGATGTCATCAACATTGACAAAAAATTAACTGTCAGCATCCGGACCGAAAACGCATCAAAAACGCACTGCATCAGCAGCTCCACGTCTGCTGATCAGCACCTGATCAGGACCTGATCTCATGTGAACAGGCCCTAAACGTTACAACTAGTGGAGGTAGCGGGCAGTTAGCCGGAAAAAGTTGTTTGTTTGGACTGCTTAAAGCGACAGGAATCTCAGCAAAAGTTCCTGTGAACTGTGGAAGACAGACAGCCTGTTCTGTGTGAGACCCTTAAAGGAGCAGTGCACTTATTCGTCTGGAGAGTGCAGAGTGCTGTATACTGTACGAACTAAGTGCCTGTGGCAATGGGTCGCTCTGACAGAAGAGACCATGATAAAATGGCCAACCCAGGAACAAAGTAAAGGTGATGTGTCTCCAGACAAGCTGGTAATGGTACCAGATGTGTGTGTAACCAAAAATTGTGGTCTTTGGGATGATGTGGTTGCATGCATGGAAGGCCAGCAGTCAGAGCAGTGGCCAGCGGAGAGACTGTCCAGTGAGGTTGCCACAGAAGACGGCCACTCTGTGGTGCGTGGCCAGTGCTCTGTCCAGCGTTGAGGCTGTGAACAATCTGGTTCATAATGATAAGGGTCTGGCTAGTGATGGCAAATGTGATGTTCAGTGGTCAGAGGAACTGCTACTGCTACTGACGTTCAGTGTGGTTGCTGCGGGAGATGACTACTCTGTGGTATCTGCAGATATTGCACTGCCCAACAGTACCAACATGGGAAGAAATGAGAATAACTGGGATGGTATGTCAGATCCTGGTGGGATAGTTATCAGAACTGATGACAGAAGAGCTGACCGGGACAGTAGGGAAGAAGTGGGTGACAACCAATCACTTGCTGACAGGGGCTCTAGGGTTGACCCACAAAAGACTATAGGAGACGAGACTGAAAGTGACAATGCTGAGTTTGACAGTATTATCAGGGAAAGAACAGCAGAGACTGACGGTGTCCACTCTGAAACTGTCAATGGATATAGTGACCGTGACCACACGTAACATGGAGGACTATTACTGCTAGAAATACAGACGGAAAGAAACTTCAGAGGGTCTAGTCAGGATCCAGACTGTGAGGTTAGGTCTGTGTGTCCGCTCCTCCGGATCGGAACAAGGTGGGGGGGGGATATGTGACAGGACAGTGCTGTGTCATTGTGGTGATTGGTGTGTTTGGCGCCCAGGACTCTCGGCCAGAAGGACTGAGAGGGTCCAGAAAACGTATAGCATTGCAGGGAAGGAGCTGGGTGTCCAGTTCTTTCCAGGTTTTCTGGCATATAACTGGGATCTGGGTCTCTGGAGATTTCGAAGAGTCTTGGGCGGGATGAAATCTCCAGTCCTGGGGCCAGGTGCAGCCAATTGCCAGGCCAGACTGTCCAGGTGGCTGATAACAGCCCTATAAAGAGAGTGGTGCAGGAGTACATGCAGAGCGTGGGAGACTGTGTGTAGTGATGCACGAGACTCTGAGCTGGAGAGGCCGATAGGGCCTGTGGCACACCCAGTGTGTGGGCGAGGCCAGGAGGGTCTGTGGTACACGAGGTGTGTTTGGAAAGGTCGGGAGGACCATCGTCACACATGGAGGTGTGAAGTTGCTGGGTGTCTTTGAGCAGGCTGAGGCTGTAAGACTGGCCATGCACCTTACAATTATCTGCAGATTTTCTGTGGTCAGATGGAAAACAATCCATCTGATGGAGGAATCTCCCACTGGGCCAAGCTTTAGTATCTTGCTTGTCAGCCCCGCCGGCTCTCTAAATACCTGAACAATCTGATTGGATGCAGGCATTGTTCAGGTGTTTGGAGAGCCAGCGGAGCCAACTAGCAAGATTACGGAAGCTTGGCCCAGCGGGAGATTCCTCCATCAGATGGATTGTTTTCCATCTGACCACAGAAAATCTGCAAATAATTGTAAGGTGTATGGGAACCTTAACCCTGAGGTGGGACATGATACCGGTGCGGAGCCAAATCTTGGCTGTTTCTGGAAGATACACCCTGTTTATGTTTGCTTGCTGAAAAGAAGCAATTTAAGTTGTACTGTTTGTAAGAGAATAAAGTTGTTATGTTGCAAAACGGCCTGGCTAAGGATCCTTAAATACCCTAAACTTTACACTATACTGGTGATCTTCAGTTCGTGTTTTATAAGGCAGTCAATGGAGCATTGGTGTGCACTTTTGATTAGTTTAGACCAGTCTGAACAATATTAGATCATTTCTTATTGATTGCTATACATTTAATACATTAAATTAGTTATGAAAAAGCATAGCTTCAGCAAAATATATTTTAAAAAAGCAAGATATTATTGATCCTTATTATTTGTTTAATATTACTTGATCATTCATATGATTGTTAGTAAAAGTCAGCTTTAAACAAGAAATGGTGATGGTGCTTACCTAGTACATAAATCTTTGTTCCTCGCAGAAAAGAGGTAGCACCATACCGAGGTGTTGGCATTGGGGCAAGGTGAACCCAAATATCTTTTAGCATGTCAAACTGCTGAAGGAAACTATGCGGTCGCAGATCTGAACCCATACCTCCAACAGCATAAACCCTGCAGTCTGAAATAAAAAAGGAAATACACAATATAATTAGGCATTAGTTCCGCAAGAAACTGACATGTAGGTAAGCTCAGATTCAAGTTACACAGGCTCTGTCTTGGTGTGTAACTTCTAGGGATGCACCGATACTAGTATTGGCGCCGATACGGAGCATTTGGGCGTGTACTCGTACTCGCCCAAATGCTCCGATACCTTTGCCGATACTGGAACTTCCGGTCAGAGGGAGATTTCCTCTGACCGGCAGTGCCGCGAGTGAACATGGAGCAACGAGCCAGGCAAACAAATCTGATAATATGGTGACACAACCCCCACCTTGCAGACAAATCATTCCCCTCACATAGATCCTCAGAAGCAGTCATTACCGTACCAGTCCCTCAGCCAGCTGGGCAGACACCGCTCTCCAAGCTCTCTGGGATCTGCCCACGTCTTGATGCTGTTAGAGGATGTCTGAATGAGAGCACTGGGCAGTCTGCACATGCGCTGTAGCAGGCTGAGGGCCTGTGCTTACCTAGTACATAAATCTTTGTTCCTCGCAGAAAAGAGGTAGCACCATACCGAGGTGTTGGCATTGGGGCAAGGTGAACCCAAATATCTTTTAGCATGTCAAACTGCTGAAGGAAACTATGCGGTCGCAGATCTGAACCCATACCTCCAACAGCATAAACCCTGCAGTCTGAAATAAAAAAGGAAATACACAATATAATTAGGCATTAGTTCCGCAAGAAACTGACATGTAGGTAAGCTCAGATTCAAGTTACACAGGCTCTGTCTTGGTGTGTAACTTCTAGGGATGCACCGATACTAGTATTGGCGCCGATACGGAGCATTTGGGCGTGTACTCGTACTCGCCCAAATGCTCCGATACCTTTGCCGATACTGGAACTTCCGGTCAGAGGGAGATTTCCTCTGACCGGCAGTGCCGCGAGTGAACATGGAGCAACGAGCCAGGCAAACAAATCTGATAATATGGTGACACAACCCCCACCTTGCAGACAAATCATTCCCCTCACATAGATCCTCAGAAGCAGTCATTACCGTACCAGTCCCTCAGCCAGCTGGGCAGACACCGCTCTCCAAGCTCTCTGGGATCTGCCCACGTCTTGATGCTGTTAGAGGATGTCTGAATGAGAGCACTGGGCAGTCTGCACATGCGCTGTAGCAGGCTGAGGGCCAATCACGTGGGCGCTGTACACACAGGAGACGTGGGCAGATCTAGGAGAGCTTGGAGAGGGGTGTCTGCCCAGCTGGCAGAGGGACATCTATAGTACGGTAATGAATGCTGCTGAGGATCGATGTGAGGGGAATGAGGTGTCTGCAGGGTGGAGGTTGTATCACCATATTGTCAGATCTGTTTGGCCGGCCTCAATGCCGTTTGGCTGGGAAGCTGGCTTCCCGGCCAATCAGCATCAAGCTGGCCAAACAGAATGGAGTCCGCTTCCCGGGCAATCAAGAAGCCGGGCGGTGGGTAATGACACGTCGCCTGGCTGCCTGATTGCACGGGAAGTCGGCTCTATGCTACCGGAAGTACCGGTATCGGTACTCAGTATCGGCTAGTAACGAAATATAAATATCGGCACTCGTACTTGATACCAAAAAAACGGTATTGGTGCATCTCTAGTAACTTCTATTGATGGCACCTTTTGGCCATCAACAAGCACACTACCAAATATCCGGAAGTACTGTAGGCCAATATGTTAAGGTGATAACCAAGGTGGAAAATCCAACTGTATGCAATAGGTCATTCAAATATGTGAAGTGGTGCTGTCACCCAACACAGTAAATAAATAATATGTGCATAAACCAAATATTGTAGTGAACAATACTACTGTGAACATTTTTTTTTTCAAATTCAATCTTCTTATCAACTGTTTGTAAGTCAAAAGTGATTATCCTTAAAAGATCTCAAAAGTGACTAATATAGTAGCAAGACTTGAGAGCAGTGTCTGTGTTTTATGATTTCATGAAGACTTTGTTTCAATTATGTGTTTAACACACTGACACAGGACATTTGCTACTTTATTAGTCACTTTTGAGAATACTTGGTTTTTGCACATATTATTTGTTTACTGTGTTGGGTGACAGCGCCACTTCACATATTTCAATTATATGAATGCAGGCTCATGCATGCTCATGCAGGCAATTTAAGTGAGCAGCTGTAAGGAGGAACGCCCAGTTTTTTAAGAGTAATGAGCGCAGAAGTTTCTATAGAAAATGTATGCAATAGATGTCTGCATAGTGCTCTTTACCAAACACCTGTACAGTGAGGAGCAAGCCAGGAAGGGGAGTGCCCAGCATAGTAATGTTTAATATCTAAAAATGGGTAGAAATAGAGTCCTTGAGAGTGGCTAAGATACAATTAAGCTATTGTAACCTATTAAACCTATTAACCCATATATTTCTGTAGATTATAAATAAATGTTAGGACTCTTTCTGTAGATAGACACCCTAAAGTGTAAAGAAAGTTAATAAAAGTCCAAGGACAGTGTCGTTTAAATGCTGGAGATGTCCTAATGAACCCGCTGGCCTGTTACATGTGCTGTGGTCTTGTCCTGAGCTTCTGGACTACTGGAGGGGTGTGGTTGTGGAGGTATGGGGGGTGCCTGTCCCTATAAAACCAGGAGAGTGTATCTTGGGTCTCGTTGAGGGACTGGCTCCTTCTGTGGTGTCCTGTACCCTCCTTACTTACCTACTATTCTATGCTAGGAAGCTCCTCATTTTGAATTGGAGGAAACCGCTGGCACCTACATTGGACATCACTAGTCAATGCTTCCTTGCCATTTCATAAAGCAGCTTATGCTAGTAGAGGCTGTCCTTTGAAATTTGAGAATGCATGGTCATCATGGCTCCAGTCTGCTAATACAGTAGTTGTCTAATTGTTTATACTTTGAGTGTCTGCCCTTAGAGTCTTTGCACACCACTGGTACCTAGCCTCTACTTCTTGCTCATAAAGTGGCTACACAGTATGGGAAACTCCACTTTAACCCTAAAGGTAGCTGCTCAGATTTGTGTTTCATTTCATATCTGTTTGCTGCATAGATAACTAATGGGATGGAGTATGTTGGATTTGTGTAGACATCAACATCATCAAGTGTTGGGGGGGGATTGTTGACCGGATTGTGTTGGGAACGATTTGGGGGGTATTGGCCTTCAATTTCTTTCTTTTCTTTGGGATTGGGTCAATCTGCACCCTAACTCCTTGTACCTTTTTAACTTCTACTATACAGCTATGACACTATGTTAGTGTCTTGTTTTGATATATTATAAATTCATTAAAAGATTTTATTTAAAAAGAAGTCCAAGGTGTTTTCGGTTGAATGACCTCTTGACTGTTTATATGACGCTGGTATTCTACCAACCAAATTTGGTCAAAGTTGTTGGTTCTCCACCCCCATCAGAAATATTATCAATCTCTGCATGGCGGTCTCACGTCAAGCACAAATACTGCAAACAGTGTTAAACTTTCAACAACAATATAGAAAGGGCATCCAAGCAGTTCAATTGTATTTAAAAGGTATCTTCTTGCGCGTATTCAAATAACATTGTCTCTGTTGGTGTTGATCAGAAAAAGGTAACAGTCACTCAAGGAAGGGACAATTAAACTGGATTCACACCTAAGTGACACCTATTCAGAGTGTATTACGCACGTCTTTTTTTGAGTGGTTTTCTTTTACGTTAAGTCGCTTGTTTTTGTGAGCAGATTTTGGCACATTCAAGTCAATAAGCAAAACATATGTAATACGCGCTCAAATAATCGAAACACACGTTTTTCAAGCGTATCTATTGAGTCTATGGGACAAAACGCGCTGAAATCAGCCCCAAAGTAAGTCATGTAGTATTTCCCGCGACAAAACGCTGACATGTACACTGGGGCCATAGACATGAATAGGATTCCTAGTGTTGAGCGGTTTGTTGCACTGATTTACGCACGACAAACATCTTCGGTGTGAAGGGGGCCTTAATGAGGAGGGGAGGCATAAAGGCTTACCTTCGCTGCTGTTGGATTGTTTGCTTTTTTTTAATGGATGTTACAATCTTTTAGGAGCTCTCATGCACCCCTCAACTATACACAGCAAAGACCCATCCTCTTGTGTTTTTTGCAGCACAGACGTGCCTGTGGGTTGTGCAGTTTTACATTAATAAGTCACACTGTCTTCTCTAAAATAACTTCCCCAGACTATAGTGACAATAGTTTAAATTGGTTGTAATGAACTCCTTTATATTGCCAATGCCCCATAACTGAACAAACATACTTAGGATGATAGAATTGTGGAGCTGGAGCTTTGTAGTTTGTGCTGCAGTAATACATTATGTTTACCCCATATGGGTTTGGTTGCAGTAAAATATACAATTGTTATAACCTGCCATCTCTATAGTCGGTTCTTAGACAGTGATCTGTATACAGAGGCAGGAGGGGCTGCCTCTGCAAGCCTGTCTTTATAGCGGATTGTGAGAATCCTTCTTTATCTCTTAAGGCTGGGTTAGGACTAACCATTTCCAAGGCACTGGGGGCAGAGAAAAGTGAATTAATCCACTAGCAGAAAACATTAATCTACTTGACCTCATTCTTTGGACTAAGCCATCACTATTTTTTTGGCAGGAAAAAAAAATATAAAGAAAATTATTCAAACTGCCTCGGTATGTGATCCGGGCCGGCCACAATCAGGCAGCGGTTGCCCTCTAATCAGGCATATTAGAGGTAGCTTGCTGGGGAATCTCTGGGCCCTTATAGACCACCTGAGAGCCCACACAGCACCCCTGAGAGCTGCCCAACCCCCTGAGAGCCCCTGCAGACCACCTAACAGCTCGCAGAGCTGACCTGAGAGTCACACAACCACAATGAGAGCCCATACAGCCCCTGAGAGCCACACAGCATTCCTGAGAGATGCACAGCCCCTCTGAGAGCCTGTATAGACCCCCTAACAGCTCGCAGAGCCCACCTGAGAGTCACACAGCCCCCTGAGAGCTTGCACAACATCCCTAAGAGCCACACAGCCCTCCCCCCACACAGCATCTAATAGACCTTATAGACCACCTGAGAACTGCACAGCCCCCCTGAGAGCATGTACAGACCACCTAAGAGCCTGCAGAGTTTGCCATTCAGGGTTGGCACTTTGAGATACATAATTTCATCCTTAATTAATTTTGTATGGGACTTTTATATCTTTACATGCTTGCTTATCCATATATTTGTTTTGACATTGTATATAAATATATTTGTTAATAAGCCACTAGAGGAAAATCTGTATTTCACTGCTGTTACTCAGATTTGGAGCTCAACAACTGTTGTAATGAGATATCAGCCACAAAGCTAATTTACTGCTTTCAGTGGAACAGCAGAATAAAAAAAACTACACATTTCATTTTAAACAGTAGCTAGTCAGTTTGCTATCTATTCGCAGAAATATATAGCTTCTGAGCTGAATATAGTTGCCCATATTAGACAAATAAAAAAATACATACTTTATGACAGTTACCTCTCACAGTGATTGATATACCCATTGCTGCCTCACGGAGGGAGCTCTTCTTCTTCCATTTGCCCTCATCAATATTGTAGACCTCTACCACTTTTAGAGGTGACTGGTTTTCTCCCACTCCTCCAACTACCATGATTCTCTTGCCCAACGCGACCACCGCCACCCCAGCTCTAGCAGATGGCATTGGCGCTAGGCTAGTCCAGCGATTGACTTCTGGAGAAAACAACTCGAAAGTGTTCATTGGGTTTCCTGCCTCATCACATCCTCCAACAGCAAAGATCTGCCCTCCCGCTTCTACAAGAGAACAGTACACACGTGGGCTGGAAAGCGATGCTAGCGTTTGCCACTGGAAGTCTTTGGCACATGGCACCTCCATGCTGGATCATCCAAACTGTAGAAGTTCATCTGTCTGTGTAAAACTCAGTACCCTGAGCACAAAATAAGAAGGGAAAATAATTACATTTCAATTTCTTACTATTACAACTTACCGTATATACTCGAGTATAAGCCGAGATTTTCTGCCCATTTTTTTGGGTGAAAAGTGCCCCCCTCGGCTTATACTCGAGTCAGCGTCTCAAGAACTTACTTACCTCGCCGAGCGTCGCATCATATATATAGCAGATATTATATAATTGTTGTACTGCCAAATTTGTACTTTTCTGTTTTTAAAACAGAAAAGTAAAAATCCTTAAAATTTAATTTTCTGCAGCTTAAACAGCATTTTCAGGTAAAAAAAAAAAAAAGTATTGTGGGCAGTCAGCTCTGATCCTGCACTTGTAGATTTCATTTTTATTTCCATCTAATTTACATTAAAGTGTGTACCCTCGGCTGATGCTACCAACTTGACACATCAAGCATGCAGGCTGGTATTCATGTTTCAAAGGAGCAGCAGCTATTTGAACCCCCTCCCAAAGTACCAGTGCTGATGGGAACTGATAGTATATTCCTCTGCGCCCACTCTTATTTCAGGAAAGGATGCTGACATAAGAGGGTCTATGTGCAACCTACTTGACTGCCATGAGGGACAAGTACATTGTCAACCACCACCCTGGTGAAACGATAAAGAAGTCATTTGTACAACTCAGTCATTTACCACTGTTTGAAAGAAATGTTTAATTTTCCCAGTTTCGTTAAATTTTGTATAATGTTCTCTGGGGACAACCTTGTTCCTTTGCAGGTTTCTGCTTCAGCTGCTACAGCCAGCTTATCCTTTTCATGCTCTTCAGTCAAAGTCTGAGAACTGAAAAGAATCCTTGGAAGAGTACGGTTTTAGGGTCTAAAAAACTCTGGGGACATCATTTCTTATGTATTCAATCTTTAGTACAATACCTTTCAGCATTGGGAGATCAGCACTGGTAGTTTTGGTGCTAAACTCCTGGCATTGAGAGTGATAACCCACCCTTGGAAGCCCCCTTTACACTAGCCCTAACCTGTAAGACTTACACTAACCTCTATAACATAAATTCACCTTTCCTGTGCTGATATCCTCTCTGCCAAAGACAATCCCCCTTTGCTCCAGAAGATAGCAGAGCTGAATTCATGGTGCAAGAATTTAAGTTTTGTTAAGCCTAATATAATTATTGCAGTAAGTATTACAGGCCATTAATGGTAACATGAAATCATCAACCATTTAATTCAGTGGGTGTTGTTTTTTTTAGGTATTTGCAAAGGACCCTTTTAAGAGTGAGTGAAGGTCTACAACCTTCCTTCCCCCCATCACAGAATAAGTAGATTACATATAACCTCCCCGTGCAACTGCCATGTTACCACCAGGGATGTCTAAGAGGCCAGGGCCTATCAGCACTGTAGCTGATGACAAGTAGCCACTATGTGAATTGTGTCTGACATAGCACCATTACAACACTCTAACAGAAATTGATTGAAATTGATTTTACATCATTGATTAGTGACTAATACGCTACCCAAAGAATATATAAGTGATAATAAAGTTGCAGTTTATGAGATGAATTGTACCTTGCTAAATATACTGTACAGAAGATGTAATAAACAGTATATATTTCATATGCATCTCATGGATCACTTTTACTTATTGTTAGTTATATATTTTAGGCCTTGTTCACACCAAGCGTGGAGCAGGTGCAGAGCAGAGCAGTTGCAGACCAGATCAAAACTGCGTCCAATGTATTCCAATGGTATTTTTTGCTCCAGTTCACATCGCAGCGTGCAGTTCCAGAGCAGGTCCAGAGCAGGTGAAAAAACTACAGCAAGCCCTGTGTTACCTGCTCTGGATCTGCTCTGGAATGCATGAAAACGCATCAAAAACGCATGCAAATGCCTGGAATGCACTGAAAGCCCATGTTAAACAAACACTTAGAACTATGAGGTGAGTGAAAAGCACTCACCTCATAGTTCTCATTTAATGTATGTATAAAAAAATATTTTCCCAGTTCTTTATAGTTATTGTATTATTTGTTCACATACATAATGTAGGGTAATTTTAGGTTGGTGCTAATTGATCTACAAGAGCTTTTAGACTGGGCGAAATCTTTTCCCCCTTATTGATTTAAAACACTTCAATTTATTTTGCAAACTAAAAAAACAAGCACAATGTTGTCTATAACCAAACATAGAAATGAAAAAAGATTACAAAAAGGGGTTTATTTATAAACTATCCACAGGGCGAATATCTGGGAACGTATGTCCTGAGTAGATGTATGCTAAAACTAGCGTTCATTCTTTACAAGGCTATGTATTTTGGATTCTTTTAATGTAATACTGCATTATGGCCACTAGAAGGTGACAAGGAGCATAGAAAATAATTACTTATTTTCTATGCTCCTTTAGCACCATCTATTGGCTATAATGTGATATTACATGAAACATAACATGAAAAGGTTTGAAAATTCATTGCACTTGTAAAGAAAAAAACTTTCCTTTTTGGCATAATTTCGCAGAGTGACTGTTCACAGATATTCGCAGGGCGAATGGCCCTACAAATTGTTTATTAGTAGACCCTTTCAGGTTATATTTTTGCTGCCTATGTCTTGCTTGGAGATTTCCCTTCACTTCTGGTCCTGTAGACTTGTCCTCCCCATGAGCAGGTTTGCATGCTCTTTCACTTCTAAAACATTTTTTTTTTAATCAGATACTTTTTATTTTTAAATATATTCCTCCAACAAACATCCCACAAAAAAGAACATAAAAAAGAAAAAATACAAAACAATTCAAGCAATACACAAATAATAAACATACCAGCTAACATATAAACACAAAAACAAGTATATCGACCACCATATATATATATATATATAATTAATAAAAAAGAAAAAACTAGATTGTTGATATCTAATCACCTAAACACATATATACCTATAGAGCACGTCTAAAGTACTCCAATTACAGCTTAGGCTCTCATAAACTTCCCTCATATGTCTAACTAACAATATTATAGAAGAATTCACGCATTCCTTTATTGTATACGGTATTGTATCCATCTCGACCAATATAAGGAAAACATATATCTTCCCCTATCCTTCTATATTGATAAGTATTACGTTCAAATATTACCATCTGATCTAACTCAATCATCCATTGTGATAGTGATGGAGGGGAGGAATATATCCATTTCCTCGCCATCAGTCGCCTAACAGTAAATAATGCTCTTTTTGCCAGTTTGGTATATGAACTAAACTGCTAGTATGCATACTCTTGGTGTATTATTTAAAAATATGCCAAAGACTGAGTGTATGATCCTAAGCACTGCACCCCAATATCTAACCAGTTTGGGACATCTCCACAATAGGTATATCAGTGAACCTTGGCGAAAACCACATTTTGGACATGAAGGATCGTTCCTGACACCTATTTTGAACAGAAACTCTGGAGTGCGATAAGTCCTATGTAAAATAAACAATTGAGTAAGTCTATGGGAAGTGGATATGGACGCCGATAGAACAGCCCTCTCTACTCCCCTCCCGTCCTCACCCGTAAAAGGGCCTAGATCAGGGGTCGGCAACCCCCGACACGCGTGCCAAGCTGGGCACATCTGCTGGCACGCAAACTCATTTTTTTGTTTGCATTTGACAGCTCGCTCGAGGCGGGTGTCAGATTGAAGTCCCACCCACCTCCCTGACATGACCAGATGACGTTCATGTGTGGAGCAGCTCTGAGGAGGCCCTCGACGGTCTGCTCGAGGTCCTGCCTGGCGGATTCTTTACCTGCAGCACGCAGGACCGAAGGAGGAGAATCGCTCACCCGCCTGCCGGACTGAGAGGATCTTCTGTTCCCTGCCTGATTTTGTCACCATACTGCCCATCATTAGTCAGAGCACAGTGCACAGAGCCGGAGGATCACCTGGCAATGTAATGTATGTGCCACATTCCCTTTGCATACTGCTCACCCACCAAACATTAGACCTCATACCTGCGCGCATGGCCTGATTCATACAGCGTACAGTCAGGCTGTACAGATCCGTGCGGGGTGCACAGCTGTATCAGGCCTTTCCCAGGAGGTACAGGTGATGCGTATGATTGTACGCAGCAGCCTGTCCTTCCCTATGGGAGGACGCGTCCATACGCTGTCATACGCTCACCCGAGCTGCACATCCGTGTGGGTGTCCGTGCTTGGACGCAGACAGGATCCATCCTGGACACCCACACCAGGACAGATGTGCAGCTCGGGTGAATGAACGTACGGCCGTGTCCTCCCATAGAGAAGAACAGGCTGCTGCGTACAATCACACGCAGCACCTGTCCTTCCCAGGAATGGCCCTATACGGCCGTGCATGCCCCAGGGATCTGTACAGCCCGACTGTACGCGGTGTGAATGAGGACTTATACTTAAAGGAGAACTATGGGGTAAGTTCTCCTAATGGTCACGGGAGGACACAAACTAGCATCCTCCCGTGACCCAAAGCTCAGTATACCGCGACCTACAGCTCGTGCTACACTGAGACCGCCGCAGCCGGGACGGATCCCGACATTACTGTCGAGATCCACTCAGCGGCGTGATTGACAGCTAGCTCTGCCTCTCTAGAGGCAGAGCCAGCTGTACCCGCCCCCTCCCCCGTCCGTTCTGCCAGTCAGCGCTGGAGGATCGGACAGGGGAGGGGGGAATCCCTGCAGGGAGCCATGAGTGACAGTCACTGCTCTATGCAGGGACAGGATCGAGAAGTGAGCGAGTGACGGTATGTGTTCGCTTACTTCTCGATCTATTGAGCCGACGTGTGACAGTTTCATTGTCACACGTCGGCTCGAACTATGAGGCTGAGTGATTTTCACTCACCTCATAGTTCCCCTTTAAGTCTTGGTCCATCTTAGTAGGGGAGACTGCTGCTACAATACTGTGTTATTTTTGCTTAATTTATTAATCTTACATTGTTTGGGGTTGATGCAAGCTAAAGTGTGTGCGTTGGTGCTGGTCTGAGGTCTGCTGTGCGTTGGTGCTGGTCTGAGGTCTGCTGT